CTCTACAACCCCTCTCTCCCCCCCCCCCCCCCCCCCCTTTACCTGCACTGGGAGGAAAACACAGGCACTCCTCTTCACTCTGGCCCAGTCCACACTCACCCCTGAACCTAAGTCTCATGCTTTGGAGAGGTTCTTATTTAGCATGGAGACACAAATTAATGTCATACTTGCTGCAACTCATGATAGCATGGGTCATAGAATGGCAAACTACTCTTTCCGCAGGAATTAATGACCATCAGCTGCAGCAAAGCTCATTATTGTCTGTTAATGATATCAGGCTAGCTCAGAATAATCTGTGGGCCAAATTCTATGTTCATTTACACTGGCTCAGCTCCACTGACTTTTATGAAGCTACTCCTGATTTACACTGTTGTAACACAACAGAACCAGGCCCTTTTGTGTGCATGTGATACAAACAGTGGGACAAGTTCTGCCTTAGTTCATTTATACCTGTACAGCTCCCATACGGCCAGACTGTGATCTCAAGAACCTGCTAGAGAAACCTGAAATAATCACAACTGAGGCCAAAGGAATTAGTTTGGTTAAAGTAATTGCAATAGAACTTGACCCAGTGACTGACAGACTTAAGTAGGTGGAACTGAGGGTGGTAGATGACACAGGAAGCATGAAAACAGAGGTGGCTTTTCCCAAAGTCCTATATAAGGTTTGTCTTTCTTGGCATTTGCAGTGCTGTTGCAAGGGGGAGCAAGCAGGGCAATCACCCCGGGCACCAAAGTGAAGGGGCACCAACAGGCGCTGCACAGTCGGGGCAGGGCACAGGACGGAGCCATGAGCGGCTCATTTTGGGGGGGTGCAGGGACAGGGGAAAGGTGGCTTCTGCCACTGCATGTACTCCCAGGCAAGAATGTGCCCCCAGATCTGTGCGCAGGGTGAGGGCAGGCTGCTGCTGGGGGCTTTGCCCCACACACCAAACTTTGTTGCTATGGCACTGGGCTTTTGTACTGCCCCCAACTCATCACCCAGCCTGGTCAGTACTTGAAGGCAGAGAAGAAAAAATTATGGCCTTTTTAAGCAAGCTTGAAAACAAGGCTTAAAAATTATTCAGAATATTGTTGGAAAATGTTCTCCAGCTTTACTCCTCATAGCTTGAGAGTAGCTGTTTCCAATCTATATCCACTGCTGCTGCCTCAATACCCAACTCTTTTGCCCCTGGTCTATTAACATGGGGTGTCTATTCATGTGCTCCAGGGTGGCAGCCAGTATTTTAATTAGAGTGGCTCCTGGACAGCTGTTGTAATTAAAATGCCATAGCGTCACATGTATTAAGCATCCCATGTTTTAAATTGACTGTGGGGGTGCTGTAATTAAAGCTCATTTGATGAGATATAGTTAGAGCATCCCACCGCCATTTTGAAATGTAGGATGCTTAATACATGTGACACAGTGGCATGCTGGAGATTTCTAATTAGAATGCATCAGAGCACATGTATAGGTACCCATAATGCATTTCAAAGTTACAGTGTTTCAGACTAATTAGGAGATTCTTATGTGACAGCCCCATGGAAACCTGCTGATTACAGGCCCCAATTCAGAAAGGCACTTAAGGACATACTCTAAGCTCATAAACCATCCCACAAATCAATGGGTCTGATTCTAATCTATGCATAATTGGCTGGAGTATCTTTTTTTTTATCAGCTAGAGTCAGCTCATACACATATTTTTGTGGATAACAGTTCCTCCATGAGCATTTGTATATAGCTTGGTTAGCTTGAAGGCTCAAATGGAGAACCCCCCCAGAACCATGAGATTTTAAGATATTTGCCTTTTGATACCAATGAGGTGCATATTTACAGGATTCTCTTTGCAGCTATGAGAAGACACAAGTCTGGTGTAATCATGCCTCTTAATACCAAGGCTTTATGAAAAACACCAAATATCAAGAGCTTCAAAATGATCAAGAAGGTCTATCCAGGAAAATGGCCACACTGAAATAAGCTTTTTTATTAAACACACACACACGAAAAAAATCTAGTTGAGTCGCATGCTAAGTAAGAATGTTTGCAACTATATTTTCCTATTACCAGAAAGTGCTCTGCCTATGCCAGTGAAAAGGTTTCAAGCAGCTCAATTATAGGAGAATTTCAATTTTAGAAGAATTTCACTATAATTTTTGGTAGTGTTGAAGGGATGTTGTAGCTGTGATATTTCAATTTTTTCTTTTCTGACATTTGGAAAATTTGAAATAAAATATAAAAGCCTGACCAGTTCTGTAGCTGAATGAAAACCAGGGTGGAAGTGATGAGCAGAGGTTTCTATTTTTAAAAAATCACAATACACTCAGAAATATGAAGGAGGAGATTTTTTTTTACTTACCATAGTAGTACTTTCTGAAGGAAACTCTTGCCCTCAGAAGCTCCTCCTGCGTTCCAGGTAGCCTTTAGAAGGCTGCTGGAAATTTCACACAGTTCTTTGCACTGGATATACAACTTCTCTATTGAGATAAATTTAGATAACTGATGCTAGCTCTTACAGCTCTTAAGTATAATCCTTAAATATAATGTGTGGTTGGAGCCATTGCCTGAGGAGTATCTAAAAAAATTCTTAGGGATCCTTGAAACCAAATTGCACTGAAATGCGCTTCAGAACGAGCCTGTCTAAGAAGCTGTGTTCCCTTTCTCCTGGGGATCTCCTAAAACGAAAAACAAAGAAGGAAAGAATTTAGTACATGGTGCGTGAAATGTGAGAACTGCCGTGGAATAACTGGCCTTTGTGATGCAGAAGATCAGACTAGATGATCATCATGGTCTCTTCTGCCCTTAAAATCTGAGTCTGTGGTTGTGTTTACTGCTCCTTTAAGGTCTGGAATGGGTTGGGATGGATTCAGGTCTCAGCTTTCTCAGATGGGAGCAGTTGTGCCTAGAGATAGCTGGGGATCTGTATGTAAGTGTGGAGTGGCCTGGATGGAGCTTTCCGGCGAGGCTCTGCTCACTTTGCTAGCTTGATCATTGCTGTCATTTCATATTCTTCCTGTTGTTATTCTGATCCAATTAAAGTCATTGTAGTTAAGTGAAAAGTCACAATTGGCTAATTGGATTTCAGGAGGCAAAGCACCCTTCAGGGGCCAGACTTAATTTATTTTTTCTTACAGTCTCTGAAACCGTTCTTAAGCCACAAGAAGCTAATCCCATCCTTGGGGAGCACCCGCTCTGGGAAGGGAGATTACTTGCCCCTGCTGCTTTCATAGCTGCCAAGCACTAGCCATCTTGCACTGGGCCTGGTGGCTATGTATTTTGAATTGCTGCAGCCCCCAACTACATGAATTTCCATGAGGATCTTCTCCACAACTACCTTATATAGATCCCCAGCTTGTACTTCAAAGCTTCTTGCCCTAGCCTGGCCCAGAAATGACTGCTACCTGTCCCTTTCTCTCTCTCAATATCAGAACGACTTTGCCTCACCCTTGCTCTCACGTGCTGTTGGATGATGTCAGAATTAGCAGGGAGTGGCTGATTCACAGATTTAATAGATTTTAGGGTTGGAAGGGACTTACTAGATCATCGCGTCTGACCCTGGCTGAGGTTTCTGGCTGAGATGCAGGACCTCCACTTGATTCAG